TGGGAGATGAAGGCATAAATTTGCCTAATTATTATGGAAGACCATTCACTCTGATACAATCTAATACAAGGAGGTCACAACCATCAATGACCGTTAGATTTGAAATTGAATGGTTGAGGATGTATCATTGTTTGAACACAAAGTCCATAATAACATTTCTCGAATGTTATGATACACTTTTATCTAGTAGATTTTAGGGTTAATTCCCCCAAAACTACACTTTCTATGCAACTTATTTACCCTAACCTAACCTTTTTCTCACTTTTTTCTCCAAAATATACTTTCTATGCAAAAATCCCACAACCAAACAATAAATTAACTATGATCCGACAATAGCGCTCCGACGCTACGTAAAGTTCGATTCAACAGTAAGGATCCGACACTGTGTATAGTGCGATCTGGCAATAGAGCTCCAACACTGTGTAAAGAGTGGTCCGACAATAAAGCTCCAGCACTATGTAAAATGCGGTCTGAAAATTGAAAAAGACGGTCCGACAGTTGCAAAAGGCGGTCCGACACTTGTACGCTCCAACAATGTGATGGTACGCTCCGACAATGTGCTATTAGGGTCCAAAAGCCAAAGTCAAATCTGTACAAAATGATTGAGAAGTTATTTGCATAAAAAGTTTGTTTTGGAGAAAAAAGTAAGAAAAAAAAGTTAAATTGGAGATAAGTTGCATAAAAAGTGTAGTATTAGGGTTTTTTGTAATTTTCTCTATATTTTACATCCCCATTTTAACCTCCTTATACTAAAAATAAATGGTCTTAATAGTATATAATTCCTATTATTATTATTACTATTATTATTATTATTATTATTATAAACCATTTCTTTTTTAAAATAGTTACGTGTGACTTTTCCTTAAAAACAAAAAGATCTACAAAAATATAGTTGCCATTCGAGAATCTATTCACCACCATGAAATCCTAACATGCCCCATCTTTTTTGGTAAAACATCAGCTTCCTTCCGTAAAGCAACAACATAATTGTATAAAATCTCTGAAATAACATCCCTTGTTTCATCAAAAAAGGAATTAATCTCCAAGGGTCCCCCCCTGCCTAAAAAAATTGTGCTCCATGCAATTTTCACTCTACGATTTTCTTAGAACCATTGACTTATATTCTTTTATTCCCCACTACTTATAAGGATATCGACATACGTGTTTCATTTACCCTCTCTAAATTCAACGAAATCTTATCTTCCAAGAGCCATCATCATTGTGATAAATGTGGTGGGGTACATCACTTTTTAACTTTCCATAAGGGAATTTCACTAAAGCCCATCATCTCACGGACATTATTCACCTAAAAATAAGGGTGGCAAAGGCCAGGTCAGCCTTGGCACTGGCACAGCCCTTGTCCCCATGGGGCCAGCTCAGGCCAACCCTAGCCCTACTAGGCCTGGACAAGGCTAGGCCAAAAACAAATGAAGCAAAAATAAACGAGAAAAAAAGAAAAAGGGCATGTTGCGCCAGCATTGGCCCTAGCCAGGGCCTCAAGCCACAGTTTGTTGTCCAGACCATACTTTTAAGGGCTGGGCCGGCATTGGCCCTAGTTGGCCCTTTGGCCACAGTTTGTGGACCATGCCCTACTTTTTAACGGCCAGGCTGCTCGGCCTCTTGCCAGCACTACCTAAAAATCCCATTTGCCTTACCAAGACCTGTTTCTTCCCTAATCCAACTTAAAGCCAAACAAAACCTCTCTCTCTC